CCCTACAAGTATCACACATAGGCCACAGGTAGAACACCAGTCTATGGAAAACTCAAAAGCCTCACGTAGTTTCTATAACAAGGCCAGTCTGGGCTCCTTTCCCACTGTTTTGGGCTCATTCACAGCCCTTTCTTGGGGCCGTGAATGCCAGGCCCCACCCAAGGGCTCTCTGACCTGCCCAAGTGCCTGGAAGGTGAATGCATGAGCCACACAGACTCCTCAGTCTGCTCGTGGACAGGCCACAGAGAAGGTGCCAGGAAAGCACTTGGCGTGTGACTGCAGCTGGAGACTTTTCTGGATGATCAGCGGTCCTGGCACCAGCCCTGGTTCTCCGAGGCAGGGGCAGTAACCACGTAGTTCACCTCAAGAGGTAATTTTAAACCAGCTCAACAGAGAAAACTTGTATTTTCTTAGTAGGCAACTTTGCGAGTGGGTGTGTGTGCTCTTTACTAGTTAAACCAGCATAAAGGAAACACATTTGCTTTGCTATATGGCGGTATCTCCTTGGTCCTGAGCAGCAGTAACATGATGAGCAGAAGGGCGCATCTATGAAAGCAGCACTGACTTTTCCGGGTTCTGCTGAGATGGGGGTGGGTGGCTTTTCTGAAGAGCCTCACCATATGGCAACACGGTTGGGCTTCCATTTTCATGTTCTAAGAACCACTGGAGATCAGAAATCACTTTGTTCTGCTGGAGAATTAGATTTCCAAGTAGACTCTCTCCTTCAAGAAACAAGCCTGGCACCCAGCGCCTGAAGGGTTTCTTACCTTGGATCACTAAAGAGGCCTTCTGGACGAGCATTCCCGCCTCATTCTGAGCAAGGCAGCTGAATTCCCCTTGAGCCCCGCCACTAAGATTTGCAACCTGGAGAATCCGTCCAGCTGCCAAGATATGATGCGTCAGTCCTGTGCTATTGGCAACTGGCTGGTCACCATGGAACCAGGTGATATTGGGAGTAGGGTGGCCTTTGATGGGGCAGCCTGGAAGGAGAGGTGAGGAGAAGTAAGCCATGGATAAAGCCAATAAGGACACATTCCTGATGAGCTGTTTGACTGTTTCCGTGGGTTTTGAGGCCATTCATTTGATGTGGCTTCCCCATAGCATTTTTCTTATGTTTCCCATTCCCAAGCAAATGGGAGATGTTTCTATTCTCTGGATGCTTGGAGGGTGACTGTTACTCATTCAATTAAAGTAAAAATTCCTGGGGAACACAAAGTACCTATTTTTGTCTATGTCCCTGTAATAACTTTAAAAAAAATGAAGCAATTAAGATTTACTCATTGGACATTTTCTCAAGTTAATTAGTTCCTATGCCAGTTTTATACTGAAAGAAATCACTTCTTCAAATGCAATGAGTTGGGGGAAAAAAACCCCCCACATACTATACAGTAATAGGAATCAAACTTTAATTGGTAAATGTCTAACGTCTGCCTCCATTTTACTCTGCGATTTTCAAGCCAAAAATTTTCAACAGAGGGTAGGAAAACAATTTTAAACGCTGATCTCATTTCTCTATAGGTCAAGAACCTTGGCCTTCTGACAGCTCTTCTGACAACCAAGCCTGCACTGGACATGTACAATGTTACACTTATTACATAGTCATTGAGCCTATTTTGATACATTAAAATTCCAAAATATTAAACTGAGATACGGTGTCTACTCAAGCCTTTGTAGCATAGAATTAGTAAAAATAAACTGATTGCAACTGTGAGAGAAAACTCATTACCTCTAAATTCGTACTTGTTGAATTTGCTGTTGTGACCCCAGAAACTTAGCGTCCAGAGGAGATTTATTAGGAGGTTTAAAATGCAAGGTAAATCATTCAAAATTAAAGATAGTGCAGGATTTCTCTCAGTTCAGTTAAAAAATATCTATTTGGTGCCTAGTGTTCTGGGGACAGTAAAGCTAGTTAAGACTATCTTCTCCCTTGCAAGGAGATCCCAGCTGGTATGGGATGCAGAAAAGTACACTAATAAAACTGAGATGTAAGGCAGAAGATGAGATCAGTGAGACACACAGATGGTCACCTGCATGGATGTGTGTGCCTATGGATCTGTACAGAGAATGGATTTTCTAACGTTGTTCTGTGTTCTGGGGGCAGCACCGTTAGAATTTTTATAGTATGGCAGCGTTAACACAGGAAAGGTCTTTAAGAGATGATCTAGCTTACTGCCAGAGGAGAAAACTGAGGCCCAGAGATGTTAAGAGACCTTCCCAAGATCAAGGGGGGCAGATCTTCTGTCTGACTCACTGTCTTGTGTTCTTTCTCCCGTACCTACTGCTTGTCTGGTTAGACGCCAACAATTTACTTAGGCATCTTGATACCTCCTTCCTTTGTCTGCGTACTCCCTTCATTCCCTTGCCTTTTTACATTTTCACTGTGGTTGTACAGGTTGAAGAGGTGGGAACAGACTACTTTGAAGAAGGACCCTGGAAAAACAATGCTGAAGTTGACCCTCAAAATTTCAGTACGGAATATCATGTCATAGGACCCGAGTTTTCACTTCTCGCTGTGTGGACTCACTCTGCCATGTAACTTTACAGGGCTGTCCCATGATGGGTGGGCTTTACTTCCCCACCTCCTTACTTTAGGTTTGGCCATGTGACTACTCTGGCCACTAACAAACACTAACAAGGAACAATCTGAAAAGGAAATTAAGAAAACAATTCCATTTACCTGAGTATCAAAAAGAATAAAATACTTAAGAATAAACTAAACCAAGGAGGCAAAAGACTTGTACACTGAAAACTATAAAACATTGCTAAAAAAAGAAATTAAAAACATAAATGAATGAAAAGATATCTCACGTTCATGGGTTGGAAGACAATTTTGTTAAGGTGTCAATACTCCCCAAAGCAAACCCAATTCAATCCCTCTCAAAATCCCAATGACTTAAAAAAATTGTTTTTGCATAAGTAGAAAAAATCATCTTAAAATTCATATGGAATCTCAAGGGACCCTGAATAGCCAAAACAATCTTGAAAAAGAACAGCAAAGTTAGAGGTCTCATACTTCCTGGTTTCAAAACTTATTACAAAGTTACAGTAATCAAAACAGTGTGGAACTGGAATAAAGACAGACATATAGACCAATGAAATAGATAGAGAACCCAGAAATAAGCTCTTATGTATATAGTCAATTTTCAACATGGGTGCCAAGACCATTCAATGTGGAAAGGATAGTCTCTTCAAGAGATGGTACTGGGAAAACTGGATTCCTACATGCAGAAAATGATGTTGGATCCTTACATTAAACCATACACAAAAATTAACTCAAAATGGATTAAGGACCTAAACATAAGAGTTAAAAGTATAAAACTTGGGCTTCCCTGGTGGTGCAGTGGTTGACAGTCCGCCTGCCGATGCAGGGGACACGGGTTCGTGCCCCGGTCCGGGAAGATCCCACATGCCGTGGAGCGGCTGGGCCCGTGAGCCGTGGCCGCTGGGCCTGCGCGTCCGGAGCCTGTGCTCCGCAACGGGAGAGGCCACAACAGTGAGAGGCCCACGTACCGCAAAAACAAAGTATAAAACTCTCAGAAGAAAACGCAGGGGAAAAGTTTCATAATATTGGATTTGGCAATGATTTCTTGGATATGACACTAAAAGCACAGGTGAAAAATTAGATATACTGGCATCATCAAAATTAAAAGCTTTTGTGTATCACAGGACACTAACAACAGAGTGAAAAGGCAGCCCACACAATGGGAGAAAATATTTACAAGTCATAGATCTGATAAGAGATTAATATCCAGAATATAGAAAAATTCCTACCACTCAACAACAAAAACCACCAACCAATTTAAAAATGAGCAAAACACTCGAACAGACATTTCTCAAAGATATGCAAATGATTAACAAGCACAGGAAAAGATGTTCCACATCACTAATTGTTATAGAAATGCAAATCAGAACCAATGAGATACCACTTTATATCCATTAGGATGGCTATTATTAAAAGAAAAAAAAAGAAAAAAAATTAACTAGAATTGGTGAAGATGTGGGAAAATTACAACACTTGTGTATTGTTGGTGGAAATGTAAAATGGTGCAGCAACTGTGGAAAACAATATTGAGGTCCCTAAAGGAAAACTAAACATTAGAATTACTGTATGATCTAGCAACTCCACTTCTGGCTGTATACGCAAAAGATCTGAAAGCAGGACTTGAATAGATATTTGTACACCAATGTTTATGGCAGCATTATTCACAATAGCCAAAAGGTGGAGACAACCCAGAGTTCCATCAATAGATGAATGGATAGATGAGATGTGATAAATATATATGATGACTATTATTCAGCCTTAAAAAGGGAATAAAATTCTGATACATATGACAACATGGATTAAACTTGAAAACATTAATTTAAGTGAAGGAAGCCAGACACAAAAGGACAAATATTGTATGATTCCCCTTATATGAGATACCTAGAGTAGTCAAATTTGTAGAAGCCGAAAATGGAATAGTAATTACCAGGGGCTGGCAGAAGGAGGGAATGGAGTATTATTATTATTTAATGGTATGAGTTTCAGTTTGGGATGAAACATGGATATGTTCTGGACATGGATAGTGTGAAGTTGTACAACAGTGAGAAGGTAATTAGTGCCACTGAACGGTACACTTAAAAATGGTTAAGATAGTAAGTTTCACGTTATGTATATTTTGCCATACTGAAAGAAATGAGGCAAAAGCTGCACTGGGTACCAATTTCAATCCTAGACCTCAAGAGACCTGGCGAGTTTTTGCTTGTGCTCTTATGCCTTTGCCATCACTAAAGAAGAACATGCCTCGACTGGCCTGATGATCTCAAGGGGAGGATTAGAGAAATGTGGAGAACAGCCAAGTCACTCCAGCCAAGCCCAGTTTAGATCAGCTGAACTAAGTAAGAGCAGTAAGAATAAATGATTGATGTTTTAGCCACTGAGTCTTGCATTTATTTTAATGCAGAACCTCATTTTTTTCAGGGGTGGGGTGAGGTAGCTGATCCCTTTAGGGAGTAGGGGCTTCCAGAGCTCCTTGAGCCATGGATCCAAGGCTTCCAGTAGGGTGGAGTTTCTACCTGTATACTGACCCAGCTCTCACCTGACCTGGATCTTCTCACTCAGGTACTCCGAAGGAGCAGGCTCCCCACATGCTTCTGGTGGCATCTAGGCATCTATATGCCATGAGGTCCATGGTGGTGTCACTGTACTCCCGTCATGAAGTGGGTGTGAGAATGGTCTTGGGGAGAGCTGTATAGAAATCAGTCCACTGGGGACCTCCAGAGACCAGCAGCACCCACTCCCTCCAGCCCAAAAATGTTGCCTGGAGTGAGACGTTGGTTTCATTTTCTAATAAGAGGCAGGAAAGCTGTACGTTTGTTTAGGCAAATAGCATGATTCCAAAAGTGAAGCTTGAAACAAGTACAGCTTTTCAGACTTACTGAAACAGACAGATATATGTCTTCCTATCACATCTGCTTTAAAGAAAAAGAGGTGCCATATGCTGTTGAGATGCTGGCTCCATGAATCCTTTCATTTGGTCAGTGTGCATGGAGCGCGGTGAGGCTGACTAGATTCCAAATTGAAAAATAAGAACCTTGCTATTCCCAAGGAAACAGGAGATACTTGGCCAGAGAATCTCTCATATTTAGCTCTAGTCTTTTTTTCCCCCAACTCCATTGGGACTGATTTTCTGAGAGACTATTTAGGCAGGAAGAGGAGTGGTAGCAGCCACAGGCTATTTTCTATGGCTGATAAAGTTACGTATCTAGGATCCAGAAATCTTAGCTAAATAAGTAGTACATTTACATAACAATTACATTCAAAATCCTTCCTCTTTCCTGGAATCAGAGGCCAGAGTGAACAGCCAGGACACCTCTCTTAGCCCATCGGGGTCTTGCATCTTGGATATATTTCCAGGGTCTTCTAGCTTGGTGATCCTAGTTGAGGCATGAGAGCTGCCATGGATATGGAGTTCTTGAAACTCAATTTGAGAAAGACTCT